AAAGGGCTGCTCATTAACGATACGCACCCGACCAGAGTTAACAAGCTCAAGAACGGCTTGGTCCACGAAATCAGCATGAAGTCGAGCTGACTTATTATTTCCTAGCTTTACGGCCAACGGAAAACTGATGAACGGCAGCCTGTAGCCGTTTTCAATAATAGACAAAATAAAATCCGGAGCACCTATAGATCTCCAGAAACCTAAATTATTCTTCAGATTACCCTTAACACTTAATGAATGTCCGCTTTCAAGTTCGTAATTCTGTGTAATTTGATCTACCTGCGCCAAGTCATCTTCATTGCTTTGGTTGAGTTGATTGGCCTGCGGTTGGCTTGTTGTAGGAGATTCCAGGGCAAAAATTGTAGCTAGGGGACTGGTAACTTCCCGGCCAGAACATGGATCTACAGTCCTTGGCCCAGTGTCCAAATTTGCCGCATTTGAAACAGCGAAGGAAGTCGCCAGAAGCGTCTCTACGGCCTGAAAGATAACAGCAATGACGAAACCTGTAATAAACGGGAGGGGGAGGGGGGGTGGGGGGCGTAAACCAGAAAGGTAATAAACTGTATGGAACCGCGAGCGTGAATGGTACTCAAGAGACAACGGAGAGTATAAATACTAATAACTGGCCAATCAGGACATCAATGCAAAACAGAATGCACAATAGTGGGTGCGGCAGGTGTGGAACGAAAACAACTGCGACTAATTACTTGGAATAACAGCGGAAAATACATTAGTGCTACCATTAAAGACAAGCACCTTTACGCATCTTTCCGAATTTGTAAAGGTTAGCTTTACGGAAGTTTATGTTGATGCGTAAGTCATGGTAAGTGTCCAACTTTACGGAGCTTTATTGTTCAGTAGCGCCAGAGTAAAGAAGTTATTTATATTGACTTACGCGGTGTAAAGATTCTCTTTATGAAGCTTTATGGTAAGCTTTATTAGCTGTACTCTCCGCCGTAAAGCTAAGTTGAAAGTCACGTGTACGGACGTGAGTTTTGCTTCTTTACAGTTAATTATTGAACTCGAAAAGTTTAATTCTATTTGGACTAAGGGACTGTGCAATAATTATCAGGAGGGGGGGCTGAAAAACTGTTAAAAATAACGTCGCACCCCCTTCCCACCACCCACTCACCATTACCATAGATGCCTTTAAGTAAATACCTTTTATATTGTCATGCTACTGTAAGCGTACGCTTACTTGTTGGATGTCGTCGTCTGGAACAAATAGTACCTCATATGAATGTTCAACAAAGCCATCCGTTTCGGAGTCATCTGAATCCAAATCAGAGTTGTTTTCGGAAGTATTTGTGTGAGAATCAGAGTCGTATTTGGAATCACTGGATAGGAGTTCTGTGTCACTGTCATTGGCACTATTTCTTTCGTTGTTTCGTGTTCCAGTATGCGAGAAATCAAGAGCACGTGATACCAGCGCAGCTTTACTTCCAGACACATGAAGATTATTCTGCTTAAGGTAGATCTTAATTTGTCTTGCTGTGAGGGATTTGACTTCATTTTCTTCTTTCCAGTTAATGTCTGGAAGGGTATTGCGTTCAGCGTCCCTTTTTTGAGCTTTCAATGCAAGAAACTCACGATGTTGAACAAAACTTTTGAGAGTGATTTCATCAACCATCAACTTCTCGCACACCTCCTGCATTTCGTTGGCGTTAGAAGAGGTTAACATACCAGAATCGACTAACGTACTTCTTGACTTGCACACTTGGAAGTTGTCGATCGATTTCATCACTCAGACTGGTCACATTGGATGGAATATACCCGCGTGGTAAGGCTGCTGTATCACTAAGATCAGGAACAGGGAACCAATTTTTTTTTATTGCGTTTAATTTTATTTACATTTCGAATAAAACTTAAGAACCCCCCTCCGTCAAATGAGTGATTTTATTTTCAGCCCCCCCTATCTTGGCAGCAATTTTCTGTAATGCCCCCCCTCTAGTTTTTCAGCCCCCCCTCCCCCTCCTGATAATTATTGCACAGTCCCTTACGCTCTATGGTATCTTTTTTTACAGCTGCTGTATAATTTCCCCAAAAAGAAATCGCCAAACAATCTTCTTCCCTTGAAAAAACGTTTTTTTCTTTACGTGATAGTTGCATGCCTTTATTTTGTTCAGCAAAAAAAGTTGATAACGTGGAAATATAAATCCAATACTGATGCTTGGCGAGAAAGAGTAAGCCATCTTTAACCAGTTCCCCTTCTTAAAATATCCCAACAAGTCCGCACGTCTTTTGAGCCCACAATACAAAGTGACTTTCCATTTTGAAGTGTAGCAAACAAACTTGCTTTGCAAACGGAGGTACCAAACGAAGCGAGTGCCAACGTCGTCCCCAGGGCGCTTTTTCCTGGCTTTGGAGGTGGATACCTCCAAAGCCAAGGAAAAGTACCCTGGGGACCCCAGGCGGGGTACTTGGGATTTCAAGTGACGGGGATGATCGAAGTTTTTTTGGGGGTTTGAAATTTTCGATTCCGGGATTTTTTTGGGTACGAAAATTTGGCTAGTATTTTTTTGGGTAGCTTCATCTGAGTAGGGATTTTTTGGGGCGTGTCAAAAAGAATCGGTAGTGCCCTGGCTGCGTAGCTCTGTGAGTAAAGTACAAACAAACGTGTTTTGCTGTTGTTTAATAGTTAACTATGGTGTCGCTTTACATCGCACGTGTTATACAATAGTCTGCATTTTTGGTCCAGGGATTTTTTGGGGTTTTGCTGGAAGCCCTAGGGATTTTTTTGGGGTCTTGACTTTTGGCTCCATTCGATCATCCCCGTCACTTGAAATCCCGAGTACCCCCCCTGGGCTGGGGACGAGGTTGAGCAAGCGTAGCAATTGCAGCAATTGTAGCAAGAAGTATAGCAAGAGTAGCAAGCGTAGAAAGCGTATATGTAAACACACTGGTAATATGTGAACACACTGGTAATTCGTTTGTTTTACGTTTTTGACTATAAACGCATGCTGTCAGTAAGACTTTTTAATGTTTGCGGCACTGTATTATTCTCCTAACCTTCTTGATGCCAAGCAGTGGTGGTTTACATAAAATACTCATACATGAGGTAAGACATTACTGTTAAAGCAAGCAATGGATACCAGGGGTTTTTCTCCCGCTGCTTCGTTTACATCACGGATCTACGTTTTTATCACAGGTCCGCATTTCTCGAAATTCCCGAAAGACTATTTTACGTGAACTTTGTTCATGAAATGAAGTCGGATTTGTAGTATTTTTTGACTATTTTTAGGAAAGCGCCGGCTGTAAAATAGAGAAATGAATTGGAAAGGTTTGTCAAAAAAGCTAATCCCAAGTGCTAGAAAACAAACTTGAAAAATTATGTTTAGGCATGTAACGTTCCCCGCAGTTTTGAGAGACGCACACCAGGTAAAGCAAATCCTGTGGTTTTCATGGTCTCATTCAGCGCGCGTTTACCTTCAGAGGCCAAAGGCTGTGGAATAGTCTCCCAGACGAGTTTCAGTCTATCACTAATTTAGATGTATTTAAGGTTAAAATAAAACAGCATTTTTTAAGGGCATTTTTGGAAAACTAAGTTTTAGATATTTGACATTGTAAATTAAGCTGAAAACCTTTTTAAGGAGATTAATAAAGTTATTATTATTATTATTATTATTCCGTTGCTGCGACTTCACCTATTAAATGTCAGAAGCTCTGGAAATGCGCTGGTGTCCGGTTAATAGAGATTTGGCTGTATCTTTGTCTACCTGTTATAAGTAATTCAGCTTCCAGCAAATATGAAAGCACACAAACCAGCTTCAGTCTTTGCATGATTAAAATGGACAACCTTCCCCAGTTCCCTAGCCTGCGTAGCAAGCGGTTCCGCGCGAGTTCGTCGAGAAAACTGGAACGCTGGCAAAAAAACTCCAAATTTCGCGCTATAACTCGACTGGAAACGCTTGCTACGCAGGCTACCAGTTCCCGAATATTTTTTGTCACATGACATATTTTATATATATTCCTTGAAAAACAGTACGTTTCCCGGCTGTATGCCCTTTTGAGGTTCCTAGTTAATTAATTTCTAAGGGGTACAAAGGAAGTTTAAATAAAGGGACGACGTTCCTTCCCCTAAACTGACCTATACCCTAAAAGATCTATTAAACCCCTGGGGCCGTGTATTAATTTATTTTAAGTTTTGAGAGGGACCTCTTCTATATCCGGTATCAATAAGAGGGAGGGGTTAAAAAAGATTTGCGTCTTGGTAAATGAATTTGCCAAAGTATATACATTACGATATCGTCCCCGATGTCAATAGGGAGGCATTGACAATCATTGCAAAATGAATTTGAACTTAAGCAACAACGACGGCGAATTTTTCTGGAGTTGAATTTTTAAAGACTGTATCAAAGTTCAGGAAAAGAAAAAGAACGTCGTTGTCTTCGTTCACGCCCTCGACAAAACGTGAAATTAAGCACTTTCACGTTGTAGTAGTGCAGCGACGGCAAGGAAATGTAGAAAAAAGCAAGATACACATGCAAAGCCTTGTTGTTTTGCCAATCTAAACCAAGAGAGATTGATCTAGCTCATTCTCTCTTGTCTAAACCTATTGTTTTGTTGCCGTTCTCGTTGTCGTCGCCGTCGTCGTTGGTCAAGCTCCCTTACGTCGATATTATAAAAAGTGGTCCTAAACTTCCATAGAGAGCTGAGATTTATGCCCTTCTGCCTGATCTTGCCTGGGATAAAACGTTGTCAGCAAAAACAATTAATTAAAAAAAAAAACCTTCAAAGGCGTTACCCCTATTATGTGTGTGATTGAACTAGATATGGTGCGTGCTTAGTAGGGTTGGGAGTAGTATAAGGTAGGGTAGGGTTGGCTAGAGACTATAATGAAGTTTACTCTGATGACCAAACGATTATTTTAAACTTGAAAGGAATTCTGCTGCCTCATACATACTTACACAGAAACCTCCTTAACTGCTAAAATTCCCTTTATATTTGCCCCTTAGAAATAACATTTAGTGTTTATTTATGTGGAGAAGGTAGGCGGCAATTTTATTTTGAGGCACTTCTGACGAAAACAAACGTCTAAGTCCCTATTATATAGCTCCTCTGACATTTGATGTCAGAGAGAATTTATCATTTAGGTATTGCATGCAACAAGAAAGGGTCAAAGCAAAATTCTAACCCAAATTTAGCCTGAAGTGTTAGCCGCTTTCTCGCCCGACACATTACGCTAGTTAACCTTAAAATCCAGTCCCAATGTCGACAGAAACGCGAGTCTCGTTTGTTACTACATCAACTTGAAAAATGCTTCTCGGGCCCTAAATGTTCAAGGAAGTTTTGAGAAACGCAAGCCCTAAAGGTTTTCTCGATTTTTGAGGAACGCACGCTTGAAAATTTTTAGGGAGCTATGAGAAAAGAACGTCTGGAATTTATTTCTGGTCAACTTAGACTTAGACTCTTAGCCGTGGACGTAACGAAACTTTAGCTTGTGTTGTGTTGTGTGGGGGGTCATTGTTATGTCAAACTTTCACCATCTTCATCTTTCAGATGAGGTTATTATTTATTCCTTTATAACATTTCCTGTTTTCCATGCGAGTTTTTGACGGGTCTGTTTGAGGGAGTTGTGAGAGTTTTATCGAACATCTGAAAACTACTGACAGTCGTCAGTCCACAAAAGTTCTTTGAAGAGCCACGTTTTACCTGGATTCAGTGCGCATTCTACTATGGCTGTGCATCATGTTCAATGAGGAATCTACGGTGGCCCAAAGCGGACATTACATTATTTTTTTTCGCTAAGTTATCGTTCGATTTAGTTTACTTTGTCTTAGAAAGTTCGAGCTCGCGATAAAGTTTCCTTTGACTGGGAAATTTATCGCGCGATAACTTTTTAATCGTCGAAAATCAAGCAAGTAATCTACAAAAATGGCGCATACGTGAGAAATCTCTGTGCTATTTGCGTTAATTCATTTATCAAGCGCCGTCCTACCGCCTTATATTGGTGGTGATTTGCATCATTAAATAGCGGAGAGAGACGAGCTAATCAGGAGTTACTTCAGTATGGGTTTGAATTATTCTGAAATAACATTCTAAGCAAAGTAAACTATATATTTTGGATCCAAAGTTTTTATCCAACTAACATGGATTTCATTATCCGGCATAGCTATTTTCCCCGACTCCACAGTTTTTTTTCAATTGGATCTAACGTTTTTATTCCTGAGATCCAAAGTTCTTGCTAGGGATCCAAAGTTATTACTCCGGATCCAAGGTTTTACTTCAGATCCAAAGATCCAATCCAATTTAATATTGCGATTCTGAAATTTGAACACGTGACAAGTTTAAACTCGGACTGTTGCTCGGTATTTTTGAATCCGAAGGAAAGAATTTTTTCTGTACTGGTATTTAGGATCACTTCTTATGGCAGAACGGCAACAAAATGAATAGATCTAATAAGGAAACAGAAAAAAATTGCACTTGCAGCACACGTTTTTGCACGGATAAACTAACATATATCAAAGCCAGGACTCGACGCAGGACTCGACAGTTTTTCGCTTTCCCGCCATTTTCACCTCCTGCAAGTGACATGACCATTAAAAGGAGGGTTTTCGTGGCAATCATGGAGGTAAGGGTTAGTGTTAGGGTTAGGGTTAGGGTTAGGGTAGGGTAGGTATTATTTGTTTATTTATTATTTTTAGTTATTTTCTTTTTGCTTACAGAAAAATTAGAAACGTTCTAACTGGAATCCTGGCTCGAGTCGTGGCTCGATATATAGGCATCGTCGTAAAAGTCACGTTTATAATACAACCTCTGTAATAAAACAAAGTAGCGTCATTTTCAATTAATTTAATGCCCAACAATTGCTACAGAGGGTTGCACTCTTGCACAAGCAATCAGCCAGAAAAAAAAATTCTTGCCAGGCAAAAAAAACCCACCACGCCCCCCATTACTTTTTTAATGGTCCGTCACTAACTGACCAACTAACCCCCAGCAGCCCAGCTCTCAAAACACTGATAAACCGAAATAAAATCTTGCAATTTAAATACAATAATACGTCAATCCATTATAAGGATAAACTTCGAAGTGATGTTCTCTTGACTTTTCTAAAATTGTTGACTGAATTAAAAAGATCTCGTCAGTCTTCACTTCTCAGTTTTGTCGCACAAGAAGTTTCTAAAGTAGTCAGCATATTCTTTAGGAATAAGATCCTCTCCTTCAAGTATTTCATTAAGATAAATTTGGCTCGGTTTTAGCCCCTCTTTAACATACTCTTCATAAGCTTGATACGCTATCGCATCCACGATTTCGCCGCTTTTCCTTTCCACCTGTACCATCACTTTTCGAAGCCTCCCTGCTTCGTGTTCATCTAACTTGGCTAAACTTCCTTTCAAGCAGATGTACAAGGCACCATAAACGGTTGACTCCTTATCTGGGATAATATTAGCATAACCAAAGCCATCGTCTTTCCATATGCTAAATACGACGCGAAATCCTCGAAGCACTGCGCTTTCACGAGAGATGAACCTAGTGCCGCGTTCCCGCATTTTTCTTGCGCTCAGATTTGACCCAAAAGCGAAGTAAAGCTCTGTTTCTTCCATGGGTGTACAGTGTCCTTGACTGTTTTATACCAAGCTGTGGTCGCTGATGAAAATGAGTCACACTTGATCGCCCTAGTGTGCGATGATGCTCACAGTTGCATCTCATTAGCTCATTAGCTGTCCCAGGCGTTTCAAAGTCATGGAATGGCGTGAAGTAGAGTGTAGCCTGCGTAGCTGGCGGGATTATTGTGCCTGGGATACTTTCTTGGTGGCGGACCTGCCATTCGAAGCGAGTGAAAGGTGAAAATCCCTCCTTGACTTGCTCCCAATCTTCATGTGGCTCCGCCGCCAATAAAGTACAACATCTGGTGCTAAATCGCCAGCTACGCAAGCTAAGGAGAGTGTGAGTCTCCTTTCCCTTCTTCCCGCCGATCCCTTCGTTTCTTCTCTCCATGAGTCACCACTTTATGATTTCGGCACCCCATGTATGGTAATCATCCTGGAATACGAGCAGTCTCTCTTTTTTCTTAATAGTCCGTCAAGGAAAACGTGCGAGTCAAGCAAATGAACATGAGCATAAATGAAGGCGCGAGACAGGAGAGCACGTTTTTCGCCTCTTTCCTTCCGTCTTTCGCGCGCGTGCACTTCCCTCACTAAATCCGAAGGAAAAGGGAGACTGCTCGCAGTTTATAATCATCCGGAATCAGGGAAATTTTTGAGTTTGGAATCCAGAGTCCTGGGCTTTGGAATCCCTAATTTAGCTAAAAAAAAATCCGGAATTCTGCTGCCGTTAACTGAGAAAATGCTTTTGATCAAAAGAAAAACAAACCCAGATTTTGGATATCTCAAGGAATTACGTCTTGCACAAAGCTCTTTGCAGATGATATGAAGGTGTCTTGGGTACTGAGGGACACTAAGCAAGATGTGGAAGAACTCGGCAGAAAGATCTTACTCGTTTGGATTATTGGGGCAATTGAGATTTAACACTGATAAATGCAAAGCAATGCGTATTTCTAAAAAGACAAAGACCGTCGTCGCAAGCTAAGTAACCTGAATTCATATTGTTGTTGGAAATCATGCATTGCACGCGCAATCTACAGATTAGTCAGGTATCCGCTAACAGATAACTAACTAATCTGTAGGTTCTGTAGACTAGGTTGCGCTGATTTCCAAAATTAGCTATAGGCTTTTAGCCAATGAAAAGACAGATAGTGGTTAAAGGTGGCCAAGAGTTTGGAAAAGGGGAAATAATTATTTTCATCCTGGAGTAGGCCTGGGGAATAGTTTCGAAGGCTCGATCAAGAGACAAGCTGTACAGCGGTCATAAACTAAAGCACAGGAAAATTCAAGATGGAGGACGGTAAGCATGCTTTCCCACTGGCTTATTACTTAAATTTATCCTTAATTTGTCTCTCTTTAGTGTAAAAAAAATGTTTTCTTTATGTTATTAAGTCTTTGTTCATATTTATTTCACGAAAATGAAACGTCTGCAACTGTACGCGGCGTTGATTTTCAGCTTTTTTGTGATTGATTGGTCTGGTTTGTTGCGGTATATCGATGAGTTGTTCTTCTGATTTCAACTAATCTCACTAGTATTACCTATCCTTAAGGGTTACTTCAATTTATTATTGGGTTCAAGTGCTAGGTTAATTTCTGCCATTGCTGTCATATAATGATCACGAAAATTGTACCTTTTTCCTTTGTAAAAATCATTTTTGGTCCTCGAATTTTCTAAAAATTCTAACAGTATGAAATGTATTTGTTTTAGTTGTTGATTAGTTGTTTAGCTCAGTTTCCATTGGGCTCATGAGACCCTTTATACGCTGCTCCTTGTGAATTTCACAGTACTTGATACTGAACAGCTTACTCGTGGCGGCTTTTTTCGTTTCTTTGAGGTTTATAGGTTTACCTAGATTTAAGAGACCTTGTCACGGTTTTCGACGCCATCTTGACGAGTAGGCAAACGCGTGAGAAATTACAGTGTTTGTATGAGAATCTAATGTTGAATAATTTCCGTAAAATGGCTGTTCTGAAAAAAATATCAATTGTAAACTAAAGCTACAAGGCAAAGGATTGTCCAAAAAAATTTTGGGGGCATACCTGTGCTTAAATTTCTCCAGAGGCTTGCTTTAGATTTTCCATATATTTGTCTGTAATTTTCCCAGGACTTTCTTACAGACAAATGTATAGAAAATTTTAAAAAGTGGTTCTAGGTCTTCTAGTGCATGTAACGCCCAAAAATTTTTTCAGGAGAATCCTTAGGAGTGAAGCTTTGGTTTACAAATCATATTTTTTTCAGAACAGCCGTTCCACGGAAATTATTCAACTTTAGATTCTCATACAAACACTGTAATTTCTCACGCGTTTGCCTACTCGTCAAGATGGCGTTGAAAACCGTGACAAGGTCTATTTGTACTACTTGTACTTTTGCATTGCTTTTTCAAAATGATCTGGCACCTGTTTACTTTGTAAATTTTTTGCTCAGCATATATTGTTAGTGCTTATGATGTATCTTAAATCTAGCTGTTCTTAGTGCATATTTATAATTTATCCCCTATATTTTGGTGCTTTTGCTGTACTCTTATCGATATAATACACGATAATTTCTTTGTTAACATTAAGTTCCTGAGGAGATAAGGAAGTGTATTTATCAAAGATAATATTAACAAAATGATCTAGACATTGTCTCTTTTAGTGCACCTGGAAAAACACATGTAAATCCATGACAAAAAGTTCTCTATACATTGTACCAAGGTGAAACTAACCTTTTAGTTTTCTGTGTTGTTTTCGTAGATCTTGAATTGGAGCATGAGGGAGCAGCTCCAGGATCCACCTCACAGCCAGTTAGGCGAAACATTTCTTTAAAACTGAAAGCAAAGAGCAAGTCAGCAAGCTCATTGTCATCTGGGANATTGGAGCATGAGGGAGCAGCTCCAGGATCCACCTCACAGCCAGTTAGGCGAAACATTTCTTTAAAACTGAAAGCAAAGAGCAAGTCAGCAAGCTCATTGTCATCTGGGAAAAGCAAGAAAAAGGAAGGAAAAAGTGGAGAAAAGTCTAGGACGGGATCTGAAGGTAAA